ACCAGTGTTCTGGTGTCAATGAGAAACTTGATCTCTCGCCCTTGTACTCACAGAGCGATGTAATAAGCTCCACCCAACCCCGAGAGAGCATGGTTAACACCACATCCTTCAGCGGCCAGGCCAAACTTTGGATCCGTCTAGTTTTAAAGTTTGCAGGTGTTTTAGTTTTAAAGTTTGCAGGTGTTTTAGTTTTAAAGTTTGCAGGTGTTTTAGTTTTAAAGTTTGCAGGTGTTTTAGTTTTAAAGTTTGCAGGTGTTTTAGTTTTAAAGTTTGCAGGTGTTTTAGTTTTAAAGTTGGCAAGTGTTTTAGTTTTAAAGTTTGCAAGTGTTTTAGTTTTCTGTAATTGTTTTTTCATACTAGCTAAAGGCAAAATATTTTTCATTGCTCATCTGTAGCTTAATGTTGCCTGTTCTTCAATGTGACATATGTCACATTAAGTACATGTAAATGTATGCCTGATGCAACGAACATAAGTGTGTGTAACTATCAGGTTTCGTAACGGATACAGTGAAATACAATATACGAACTTTTAAAATCCTTGTTATCATATACATGTAGACACATCTAATGTTATTGAAATAGTCATTATTTCTGTCAGACACAAAATAACAGTGTAATGATAGCACAAAGGGGTTTATGTTTCACTACATGTGGGTTGAAACTCTCTGTAGGGTGTAATATAAAAAATGTAAAGTATGTACCTGTATTCATTTTTCAACATTAAGAGTTGGTCTTTTGTTACATTTCTCTAAAGTAACCCTATATTCACAGTGTTTTAATTAACAATCTTCTTTATTTGATTTTAGGTACTCCAAGTGGAATATTTAAGTCCTTGTAATATGTATATGTTTTATAAATGTCTAATTCCTATATGTCAGTCTTTTTGTTTTTGTACTCATCATTACAACTGATATCCACATATTGAGTTTCTTTAAGTTGCAACACTTGGTTAAAAAAAACAAAAGATCTAAGCAATTTAAACGAATTTTCTCTGTGAAATGCATAGATGGCCCCAATAATAATTAGTGGAGCGAAATAAAATTAACACAATTTTTGTTTGTTGTTATGTAACAAACCAGTTCGTTGACTCGCATACAGTTTTGTGCATAATTAATTTAGAAAAATGTTTATCAAAATCCAGTGGGTTTGTTTGGACATTGATGATATGTGGAAAATACTGACAGCTTTAAAAGTGTGGATTTGGTCTATTACTTTTACTGTCATAGTAAATGATGTGTGGTCTTGTGTGTTGTTATCAATGGTCTATTGACTTTTACTGTCATCGTAAATGTTGTGTAGTCTTGTGTGTTGTTATCAAACAATAAAAAAAATTCATGTTCAGTTGTTACAAAATGAAAGTGCTTTTTTTATGTTTATTGTTCATTGGTTAAAAAAACCTCTGATTGAACTGCTTGTTATTTGTTAAAATACATTAAAAGTCTTTATGAAGAAAAAAAAGTCAAAGCTATTGAAATTATGGTTGTATTTAAAAAAAACTTTTCATTCTAAATCTGCCAATATAAAAAAATATACTTGATATTTTTGTGTGAGGCTAGATAACCTTGTGGCCCACGGACGAATGAATGAAAACGAGGCAAGGAATAAATTTCAACAGATTCTTGGTGCTATTAGCTATTGTCATCAAAAACGTGTAGTTCACAGAGACCTTAAAGCTGAAAACCTGCTTCTAGATGCAGAGATGAACATCAAAATAGCAGGTATGTAAAGAAAAATGTGGTTTCTAACGAAATTAATTGAATCGCAATAAGATTAATAGTTTCTAACTAATCAAAACGAATGTACTGAGAATGGTTTAAACAGAAGTTATTAATGGAGTTTTATCTTGCTAGACTGTTTTTGTTAATATTACGGTTTCTTTAGTTTCTCTTTTTTTCTTTCACTTTCTTTACACTCAATCTATTCACCATTTTCAAGACTAGTTGGGGTAAAGGATCACTGGCCTAATTATAAAGTTAAATAAAAATTAATTTGGTCTCAAAAAGGAAAGCTTGTAATATAATGTAGACTAAAAGGAAAGCTTTTAATATAATGCAAGCTAAAAGGAAAGCTTTTAATATAATGCAAGCTAAAAGGAAAGCTTTTAATATAATGTAGACTAAAAGGAAAGCTTGTAATATAATGTAGACTAAAAGGAAAGCTTGTAATATAATGTAGACTAAAAGGAAAGCTTTTAATATAATGTAGACTAAAAGGAAAGCTTTT